TTCAACAAGAATCCAACAGAGACATTCTGCTTGACCCACTCCAGTCCTTTATTGTTTTCACCACTATGATCCTGTTCACTGATTTCCAATTCAACCAGAATCCAACAGAGACATTCTGCTTGACCCACTCCAGTCCTTTATTGTTTTCACCACTATGATCCTGTTCACTGATTTCCAATTCAACCAGAATCCAACAGAGACATTCTGCTTGACCCACTCCAGTCCTTTATTGTTTTCACCACTATGATCCTGTTCACTGATTTCCAATTCAACCAGAATCCAACAGAGACATTCTGCTTGGACCCACCCAGTCCTTTATTGTTTTCACCACTATGATCCTGTTCACTGATTTCCAATTCAACCAGAATCCAACAGAGACATTCTGCTTGACCCACCCTCTCATTGTTTTCACCACATTTCCAATTCAACCAGAATCCAAATAGAGACATTCTGCTTGACCCATCCCTTTCTTTATTGTTTTCCCACTATGATCCTGTTCAGCAACCAGAATCCAACAGAGACATTCTGCTTGACCCACTCCAGTCCTTTATTGTTTTCACCACTATGATCCTGTTCACTGATTTCCAATTCAACCAGAATCCAACAGAGACATTCAACCACTATTCCTGTTCACTGATTTCCAATTCAACCAGAATCCAACAGAGACATTCTGCTTGACCCACTCCAGTCCTCTATTGTTTTTCACCACTATGATCCTGTTCACTGATTTCCAATTCAACCAGAATCCAACAGAGACATTCTGCTTGACCCACTCCAGTCCTTTATTGTTTTCACCACTATGATCCTGTTCACTGATTTCAATTCAACCAGAATCCAACAGAGACATTCTGCTTGACCCACTCCCTATGATCCTGTTCACTGATTTCCTCCAACAGAGACATTCTGTTGACCCCATTCTTGCTTTCACCCACTCCAGTCCTCCTTGTTTTCCTGTTCCAAATTCAACCAGAATCCAACAGAGACATTCTGCTTGACCCACTCCAGTCCTTTATTGTTTTCACCACTATGATCCTGTTCACTGATTTCCAATTCAACCAGAATCCAACAGAGACATTCTGATCTTGACCCACTCCAGTCCTCTATTGTTTGTTTCACCACTATGATCCTGTTCACTGATTTCCAATTCAACCAGAATCCAACAGAGACATTCTGCTTGACCCACTCCAGTCCTTATTGTTTTCACCACTATGATCCTGTTCACTGATTTCAATTCAACCAGAATCTGTTTGACCCACCAGTCCCCCATTGTTTCACACTTCTCCTGTTCACTGATTTCCAATTCAACCAGAATCCAAATAGAGACATTCTCCTGTCCCACTCCAGTCCTTTATTGTTTTCACCACTATGATCCTGTTCCCCAACAGAGACATTCCTGTTGACCCAACCAGAATCCAGTCCCATCTATTGTTTTTTCACCACTATGATCCTGTTCACTGATTTCCAATTCAACCAGAATCCAACAGAGACATTCTGCTTAACCCACTCCAGTCCTTTTATTGTTTTCACCACTATGATCCTGTTCACTGATTTCCAACAACCAGAATCCAACAGAGACATTCTGCTTGACCCACTCCAGTCCCTCTATTGTTTTTTTCACCACTATGATCCTGTTCACTGATTTCCAATTCAACCAGAATCCAACAGAGACATTCTGTGACCCACTCCAGTCCTTTATTGTTTTCACCACTGATCCTGTTCACTGATTTCCAATTCAACCAGAATCCAACAGAGACATTCTGCTTAACCCAGTTTTCACCACTATGATCCTGTTCACTGATTTCCAATTCAACCAGAATCCAACAGAGAGACATTCTGCTTAACCCACTCCAGTCCTTTATTGTTTTCACCACTATGATCCTGTTCACTGATTTCCAATTCAACCAGAATCCAACAGAGACATTCTGCTTAACCCACTCCAGTCCTCTATTGTTTTCACCACTATGATCCTGTTCACTGATTTCCAATTCAACCAGAATCCAACAGAGACATTCTGCTTAACCCACTCCAGTCCCCCATTGTTTTCACCACTATGATCCTGTTCACTGATTTCCAATTCAACCAATCAACAGACATTCTGCTTGACCCACTCCAGTCCCTCACCACTATGATCCTGTTCACTGATTTCCAATTCAACCAGAATCCAACAGAGACATTCTGCTTAACCCACTCCAGTCCTCTATTGTTTTCACCACTATGATCCTGTTCACTGATTTCCAATTCAACCAGAATCCAACAGAGACATTCTGCTTGACCCACTCCAGTCCTCTATTGTTTTCACCACTATGATCCTGTTCACTGATTTCCAATTCAACCAGAATCCAACAGAGACATTCTGCACCCACTCCAGTCCTCTCATTGTTTTCATCCTGTTCACTGATTTCCAATTCAACCAGAATCCAACAGAGACATTCTGCTTGACCCAAGTCCCCCATTGTTTTCACCACTATGATCCTGTTCACTGATTTCCAATTCAACCAGAATCCAACAGAGACATTCTGCTTGACCCACTCCAGTCCTTTATTGTTTTCAACTATGATCCTGTTCACATTTCCAATTCAACCAGAATCCAAAGAGAGACATTCTGACCCACTCCAGTCCTTTATTGTTTTCACCACTATGATCCTGTTCACTGATTTCCAATTCAACCAGAATCCAACAGAGACATTCTTGCTTAACCCACTCCAGTCCTCTTTATTGTTTTCACCACTATGATCCTGTTCACTGATTTCCAATTCAACCAGAATCCAACAGAGACATTCTGCTTGACCCACTCCAGTCCCTCTATTGTTTTCACCACTATGATCCTGTTCACTGATTTCCAATTCAACCAGAATCCAACAGAGACCACCCACACTATGATCCTGTTCACTGATTTCCAATTCAACCAGAATCCAAATAGAGACATCCTTTAACCCACTCCAGTCCTTTTTGTTTTCACCCCACTTCCTGTTCACTGATTTCCAATTCAACCAGAATCCAACAGAGACATTCTGCTTAACCCACCCAGTCCTCATTGTTTTCACCACTATGATCCTGTTCACTGATTTCCAATTCAACCAGAATCCAACAGAGACATTCTGCTTGACCCACCCAGTCCTCATTGTTTTCCCACTATGATCCTGTTCACTGATTTCCAATTCAACCAGAATCCAACAGAGACATTCTGCTTAACCCACTCCAGTCCTCTATTGTTTTCACCACTATGATCCTGTTCACTGATTTCCAATTCAACCAGAATCCAACAGAGACATTCTGCTTAACCCACTCCAGTCCTTTATTGTTTTCACCACTATGATCCTGTTCACTGATTTCCAATTCAACCAGAATCCAACAGAATTCTGCTTGACCCACTCCAATTGTTTTCACCACTATGATCCTGTTCACTGATTTCCAATTCAACCAGAATCCAATTAAACTGTCCTTTTTTGTTTTCACCAACCATGATCCTGTTCACTGATTTCCAATAACCAGAATCCAACAGAGACATTCTGCTTCTGCTTGACCCACCCAGTCCTCTATTGTTTTCACCACTATGATCCTGTTCACTGATTTCCAATTCAACCAGAATCCAACTGAGACTTTCCACTCAATCAATGTTCATTATTTATGCCTAAGCTCTCATCACCTCTGCTGTAACCTTGACAACCAATGCACCTTACCATAAACCAATCCACCACCATGACTTTGACTGACCAACCTGCTAACCCACATAACCAGGCAGTTCAGCTTCAACATCTCAGCATCACACAACCACCAGCCCATCAACACCATCACAGATGTCAATTTCAACTTTAAAGAAAGGTGTGTATCAAACCCCACCAACAGCTAATACACTGCTGGCTTTTCTGAGCAACTAAAGAATGGCATATTAACAATTTTTACCAAATTTCAAACAATATATTATGAATATTTAATGAATACACACTGTTGAAAATTGAATCCTTGTTTGTTTGTTTCCTTTACAAGAAAACACTCATTATAACATTTTCCAGCCTTCCTTGAGTCTCTATTGTGCACCAGGATAATGACAAATCCTACTTTTGGTAGCACATCTCTTTCTGCACATGTCATATCTGGATTATATATTTGTGTGTGCCTGAGGTCATCTTCCCCTGACCTCATGATTACTTGAGTCTGTGAATCCCAAATTCATTGCCTCCTGCTTCTTGATTAGTAGTATCCACATACTAATGTCAATTCTTGTTTCACCCATTGAGTCATCTGGGTAGAGTAAATTCTTTTCATCTTCTTATGAATGATTAAAACAATTTATCTAACAGAATTCAAACAAGAACTACATTTTATTTTGATACAATTAAAGTGATAACCAGGACAGAAAGAACTGATTTCTTGTTTACAGATTGCAACATCTATCAGAGAGTTGAAAATTAAATTTTTACTATTGCATTATTCCAAAATTTTAACACATCAGTAGATAGATATTAATGTCAACAACTGAGAACAAACAGTTATTAATTAAAAAAATTAGTAATTAATGTATAATATTATCCATAACTACATGTACAAGAATGTTGTTTTTGATAAAAGTTAAAAAATAACATAAACACGTAAAAAATGCGTATATTGTCAAAAATTCCTTTTTTGACAATAAAGTTATTTGTACTATGTTATAATGCTTATTACCTAAACAATAATACGGAATAATTTTTTAAACATTAAAATATATTTAACCATATCTCCTTTATACTTGTTATGATCTGTTAATATAAAATATTCAAAGAATATACACTAAAGTAATCTCATGGAAACTTGATCATATCAAAACCTTTTTCCAGAGAAAGTAATTGGTATATTGTATTTTTAATAGCAACCAGGTTATACATGTGCTCAAAAGTGTATTTGAAAAAAGAGGTTTTATTCATAATGAATATTGAATGAACAAATAGAACCAGAATTACTGAGATCTATACGTAAAAATGTTTGAATGTTATGTGTTAAATAATTTCCAAACTACTTACCAAAATATGTTCATCATTGACAAGAACTAAAAAATAAGAAAAATAAAGATTTGAATGAGTTGCATCCAATAAAAGTAGATATTTTGGTGAGAGAGGTAGGTATTTATAAAGCTCATTGATTGATGCATTCATTTTCTATGGCTTATCAACCCTTTGCCAGGTTGATAAGCCAGAAAATATTTTTAGATTGTAAGAAATTTTTTTTATATAATAATGGTTTCATGATACAAGTCTTACTAATTAATGCATAGGTGAGGGAGAAGTGGCAGATTTGTACATTTCCCCCCAAGTGTATTTGTGCATAAGTGAATATAACAAACCCAAAAGGAATTGGAACTTGGCTCTCCAATTAATGATTCTGAGCCATTATCCATTACACCACCTCAATATCCAAGTTTACAGCACCTGATATTCCCAATGGTCAACCATCTAGTTACTGACCAGCCTTGATGTTGCTTAACTTTGGTGATCATATAGGAACCGGTGTTTCAATGTGATGTGGCCATATATAAAGCTCAAGTCAATATTATACATGGCCATATTTTTAGGGTACAGTCAGGTTTGAATCTGCTATGTTAATTTGTATTCCAATACACAAACGATTGATTGAGTGGTGTTGAGAGAAATCTCAATAAGAAAATATGTAAAAATATAATTTGAACATGATTTGAAACATCTAGAAATATCTAAACTCTCAACTATATAAAACAGCTTTCTCAGATTAAATGGTTAAAAAAAAGGAGAAAGTAATAACATAATCAAGACATTGACATTCCACACTGCTTCAAAGGAAACCTATTTTCCTGAAAAATTGTTTTAAGAGAAATATTTAATAAATTTCAACTGAAAGTAGCACTGGCTGCTTGAATGTTTCCTTATAAGGAAATGGCTAATATTACTATTACATTTTGAAATTTAATCTGACAGTCCTGATTGATGGATACACAGAAATAAGAGGTTTCATCAAACATAAGTAAACAATGTTTTTTTAGTTATTTGCACTAAATCTAGAATAAGACTACATTTTTAAAACATCCAATAACATTATTTACATTATTCGAAATATTGTCCTCATCTTTATCACCATATTTATTACAATGTTTTGGCCGTTGTATGCTCCGGCCTTCTTCAGGTGGTTAGAATGTCAAACTGAACCCTTTATTTCGCTCACTGGGGTAGACTGTTCTAGTTCCACGTGCCATGTTTGATGGATGTCAGTTATCAGTTATCTCCTGTTAATTTCCCTCTGAAAGTTCTCCACTGCCTTAACTGGGTATTGAACTCACACTCTTTGGGTCCTGTCACTGGATCTAACCAACATCTTTATCCACTGTGCCATGTGTCCTAAGGACACATATCACAGTGGCCGAAACATTGTAATAAATATGGCGACAAAGATGAGGACAATAGTCCAAATAATGTAAATAATATAAATAATGTACATAATACCTCATCTCAACAATATAGACAAACATTATAGATTTAAACTATATTGTGGACAAATTGCTTTTGTTTTATGAATTCCAGACAGCAATAAATATATTCTTTGTAAAATATATATTTAATAATTTCACCCCAAGCAAGGTGATAATTCCACTAAGATGCAAGAAATTACTAGGGTGAAAGAAAATGAAAAGACTTCAAGAGGAACTGGAAATCCAATCCCCAAAAAAAGAAACAAGGAATAAACCTCTACTCCTGTTCAAAAGATGGAGAATGAGTGTAAACTGGGTGATAGGTGAATTTATATTTATAACAAGCATAGCAAATATCTTTGTATGACTTAAAAACAAAATGCTAACAGGAAAAAAATTTTTAATTGAAAAAAAAAAAACTGTTTTTACAAGATTAATGATTAAATACTATGAACACTAGTATGAATAAAATGACATTTACCTGAATATGTGTAGGTTGAACATGAACAATAATTATTGTTCTGGAAACAGGTGTAAATCACTCCAGAGCTATCAATCACCTGGCAAAAACAAAGTAAAACATGAATAGAAGTGTAAAATGGCCTAGTGGAAAAGATATCAGTGAGTAGAGTGAGTGAAACAGTTTTTAAATTTTTATGCTTGTCATTTGCATGAATTCCTACAAACCAAATACTCTTTAAAAAAATCATGGACACAAAAAATCCTTCTTAGCCCCATGCTACTACTGTCTTGTAGTTCAACTATAATGAAATTTATATACAGAGGAGTGAGGTTTATGATGGATGAGACCTCACTTCATAAGGTCAGAAAGATATCTTTAGCTCAGACACTTGATACAGCTTGATGAGATTGTTGGTTCAGACAATTGATATGGCTTCATGAGATTGTTGACAGGAGAAGTTCCAAATTATTCCTGGAACAAAATGTAACTTGAAATTACTTTTTATCTGCTAATAAATAAGCCAAGTCTATTGCATTTATGTTACACTAATACCTTTGAAGGACATAAATTCATCTTTTCTCCCATTAGCTATGAATAAATTGTTGGGTAAATGAGGCTATTAGCCTGGATAAGGCAGTCAGCCTAGAAGGATAAATAAGAATTTAAAATTGTGGAGAAAGTAACAGGAAAACATTCTTTCTCAAGACAGCCATTGCAATTCAGAGATATTAAACAAATGAAAGTTGAGAGCCATGACTGCATGAAGGAACATTAAAAAATATTTTCTGAGCCAAAAGCAAACATAAATGCCAACAAACCAAGTTTATCTAACTAAATATAAATTTTATTTAATTTAAAAAGCTGTTACAAGATTTCTGTATTACAGTCCATTCTCTTTAATCCAGCACCCATGGAACCAATTCACTGCCAAACCATGGGAAATGCGAAATGACAGATATCACCCCTTAAAAAAACCTATGTAAACATAGTCTTGCTAGCACATTCCACATATATATTGCTGTATTATCAAAGGTAGAAGCTTAAAACAGGAAATAAAACAATCATTAATGCTTCCAAAGTTTTTATTGTTTCACACAATACAAAGACTAAGAAAAGCCTAAAACCAAAAAATAATATATACTTAATACCATGAATGAGTAAATATGCAGCTCTATATAAGAAATGTGCAAGACCATATCACCAAAACACACTGCTGCTGTAGAAAGTTGTATACAGTATGTGGTGCTGTCCTTGTAACCACTCAATGAACTTGTTACGAAATTCATATACACACAACGGTAGTAGTCATCACTTGTGATTCGTTTATCTCAAGTTCTGCCTATATAGTGGTATGGTTATGCTAATTAGTATTAGCCCAACCCCCTTTCACTGGTTTCAAGAGAATTTCTCATTATAGGAGATCACAACCTACTTCTTTCTTTTTCAATATCCACTGTTATGCTTTCTGATTCCTCAGAAAACCTTTGAGCACTCATTGTCTCTTTTGAACTATGATCTTGTTCTTCTCTATACTCATTTAACTCCTCAGTATCTTCAGTCTCCAAGTCTTCATGATTTTGGCACAATCTTAGTTGGTCAGCACGCACCAATAGACCATTACCATTCTTGGAAACCAATGCTGTATTCTGTCCCTTCTGCATTAAAAATCTTACTTTTTCTGGCCCCTCTTTTCCATTTCTCTTGTACCATATCTTCTCATTCGTTGAGTATGACATTGTTAACGGTGCTCTGATTTGTCATCCCAATAATGCAGATGAATCTTGTAATCTTCTGGCATGAGGTATTATCCAATAACTTAATAACAATCTTGGTAGAAAAATTATTGATTCTTTCATGCTGTGGGGAGAACACTTTAAATCCCATTTTTATGGTTTGCACCATTTGCTCCGCTATTCCATTTGATTGCAGATGATAAGGAGAAGTTTTATACAGTATGCATCCAATGTTTCTTAACCATGAACACAAGTTTTCATTGCAAAACTTTGGAGCATTATCTGTTACCAATGTCCTTGGTACACCATTCCTGGCAAAGACTATTCATAAAATTTGTTGTACTGTATCTGATTCTCTATGCTGAACTCTAAAAGCTTTGGGCCATGCCAAAAACGCATTCACCAATATCAAACACAATCCTGTACCATTCCCATGTGCATGGTCCATGTGAACCCTGGACTATGGTTCAATTTCCTTTGGCCACAAATGTGTCTTGTTCTGTTGAAAATGTTTTATCTCCACACATTTAGAACATTTATTCACATACATCTCCATGTCATTAGTGTGAACAGGCCACCAGGCTTCCAATTTTACATGCTTTTGTGTAGCAGCTATTCCGTAATGCACATCATCATGCATGCTTTTAATTACCTGTCTTCTACAACTTTCTGGTGGTACCACCAGATCTCCATTGCAAACTACGCCATTCTCTATTGTCAATTTATGTCTGATCTCTTTGTATGGTCTTTCAGCTTTAGAACAATTACTCCATTTGTTGTTTCATATTCTCTCTATGATCTTATTCAATAATGGATCTTGTAGAGTCTCCATCATGAGTCTATTAATTGGCAATACATCAATCTCCACCCAATGTAAAATTTAATCTTCCACTTTCTCATTTTTCTCATGTTGTTCATACTCAAACTGTAGTCGTGATAGTGCATGTACGTGTGGGATCGTGTTTCCTTTCACATATTCTATTTCGTAGTCAAAGGCCATCAACTTCATTGCCCATCTTAGTATCCTTGACGATGTGACCTTCAGCTTTTCTTTCCTGGGATGAAATATAAATTTTAGCAGTTTATGATCCAATCTGAGCAAAAACTTTTTTCTTAACAAAAATTCTCTTGCTCTAGTCATGCTCCATACTATAGCAAACACTTTTTTTTCAATATTTGAATAGTTCTTTTCGGCTGGCATTAATTTCCTGGAAAGATACATCACCGGGCATTCTTCCTATGACAAAATTGCTGATACACTCGCATCTGTTGTTAACGTAACTTCTTTTTTAGGGTCAAAAATCTTGACAACGGGTTCCTTGGATAATGTTAACTTCAATTTAACAAAGGCTTTTTGATGAATATTAGTCTACTGAAACTCCTTTTGTTTTTTTTTCATAAATCAGCAAAGGGCTCAATTCTTTCTGAATATTTTAATAAGAACTTGCTATAAAAATCAGCTAATCCAACATGATTCCAACTCTTTCTTATTATTTGGAGGTGAAACATTCAATATTTTCTGTATCAACTTTGAATCCAGTGAAGTACCCTCCTTTGAAATTTGATATCCCAAAAACATTAATTTGTTGCACTTGAATATACATTTATCCTTTGTTTAAAGTCATTCCTGCATTTCTGAGTATACTCATTACCATTTTAGTTTTCTGTTTTAATTCTTCTTCAGTACAGGCGCCTAGCCCAATATCATTCTGATATATTATTATATTTTCTACTTTTCCTTCTAGTAGATTTTCCATGGCTCTCTGAAAAATCAAACTGGCAGTCTTAACTCCAAGTGGTAAGCGAGTCCACCTCAATAAGTCTATGGGCGAATTTATTGTCATAAATTTCTTTGAATTCATTGTCTATTTGGATTTGGTTGTATGCATTCTTTAAATTGATTTTAGCAAAATATTTCATTCCTGCAAAGCAATGCCATATGTTTTCTACATTTGGAATAGGATATGAATCTGAACAAATTTTGTGATTCACACCTACCTTGCAATCACCACACCCTAACATTGCCATTAGGTTTTCTTACGACGACAGTAGGGGCTGCCCATTTACTGCCTCCTGGTTCAACGTTGAGTTGTTCCTTCTTCTACCATTTTGTTCAGCTTCTCAATCACCATCGGTTTTATATGTATGGGAAGCCTACAACTTTGAAAATATAATGGCATAACATTATTTTTTAGCTTAATGCTTGCTTTATAATTTTTTAATGTTCCTGTTTCAATATGTCTAATATTGACCGCATTTAGTAATTGTGTACTATCAACACTTACTAAGTCAGTATCTATTAGGCCATGACTTTTTATACAATCCACTACTATGATGGTGATTGTTTCAAATCTTTTTGCTGTTTCAAATGTAGCTTGAAAGAAACCTAATGTTTCCCCATGCAGGATATTTTTCTCTTTTTAGCTCATGCTCATAACTGCAATACTTACATTTTGATTTTGTTTTTTTTCTTAATGGCACATATTTCCATCATTTCTTCTTGTTGGTTTTCCTTTATATTATATTTTTCAATCAACTCGTCCTGCTGTATAAATTCAATACACACTTCCAAATTCATATTATTGGATTACAAGCTCTCCAAAGTTTTAAGTCTTTGCATAGTATTGTATAGTCCTTCCACTAGTCAAAGCTGAATCAATTCCTCCTCTGTTGTCATTCCTTTTCATCCAAGTTCATTAAAGTCACAATACCTACTAGTATCTTATAGTCTACTGAAATATTTCCTAATAGGTTCCCCCAACTCTTGTCTTAATGCTAGAAATTTGATCCTTTCAGTAATGACCAATCTTTTTTGGGCTTGGATATACTTTAAAATTATGTATTTAATGTCTTTAAAGTTTAAAGTTTCAATTTCCTCCAGGTAAGTCATTAAGGATACTTGTTTAATGGCTTTACATCCTGCGGTGACCATAAATAAATCCATGGTTTGTTTCTGCTTCTGGTCATCCACTAATTTCTTCATTCTGGCCATTACCTGAAAACACTTAACACTTTAACACCTCAAGGTTTTCCAAATCCAACATAAGTTTCATTTGGCAACGCCATTTGTTATGAAGTTGATATACACACAACAGTAGTAGTCATCACTTGCAATTCAAGTCTATCTCAAGTTCTGCTTATATAGTGGTATGGTTATGCTAATTAGTATTAGCTACTACAGAACTAATGACAGCTAATAATAAAAATATTGAACCATGGAATGCCAGATTAAAGAGGTTGGACTGTATAAGGATTATTTATGTAAGGACCAGCAGTTCTGTCTATTATAAAAGTGTAACTTTATAGCACTTGGATCAAAATGTAGCATCTGTACATTCCGTGAAAAGTGTTAGAAAATATATAC